TCCAGGTATAATATTTACACTCAAATAAAAGCTGAAATGTTTGTATACAACAGTTTTCATAAACATGATTAAATACTGAGGAAGAACATGTATGATCGTGTTTTGAGTATCAAGTCTGATGGTTGAATTGTAGATGCACGAAACTGCATTTCTCCGACTGGAAGAGCATTCGGTGTTGACCCGCTGGAGGACAGAAGCTACAGCTGATGACCTCTGATGACCTCTGACCCCTGGAAGATGGTGTCCAGGAGCGGTTTCACAGGTGAAGATACATGTGGGACGAGGATCTGCAACCCAGTGCTTCTTATAAAACACATATAATGGCTTCAATTTATGCACATAAAGAAGCGCCTAATAAATGCTCCGGCTTCAGTATCTCCTTTATTTTGTAGAACGTAAATGTTTTCATTGCTGCAATAAGAGAAGAATATCCTTGGCATGTTTCGCCGTGGTCAAGATGGACCTTGTGCAGCGTCTTTGGCTTCAGGTTGAGGTCATAACCATTCATAAACCATCACACACACGATTGTCAAATGAACAGGTAACACCATCTCTATCCTCAAATAAGCTGATCTTTATCTTGTCATTTAAATGATTAATCATGTTTCGTGCAGCCAGAGTGTTTAAAACGTGAGGCTTTATATGATAGTGTTCATCTCCTGCAGTCTACGCTCTATTGAATACTAGCACACCACTCTTTCTATTTCTGACATATTGTTATATTTATATGTTCATCTGGCAGAAAAAGTAAGAGTACAGTGATATTGTTCAGAATAGCACCTTATAATACTCTTATTATTTTGTTTATATCATCGCAAAATGTGAAATATTATCACACAGCTCTATATATACAAAGTAGGAAAAGTGTGTGTATATATATATATATATATATATATATATAATGTGTGTGTGTGTGTGTATATATATATATACATATCAGCATGATTCTGGATAAACTGAATCAAACATTTGTTTGTTTGTTTCAAATAGAGATCACAATTTCCCCATGACTCTGAATAAACGACTAAACAAAATAACATGTCAATTACTTAGTTTAATGGTTCTGACAAAATGTTAATTTCAGCAGTCTATTTAAAAATGTTTAATTAATTTGTATGAATTATTTAAAAGTGGTTTGAATGATTCAATGACTCATAAGAACTTCATTACAGGATGAATCACCATTTTTGAACGAATCTCTTGAATAAATTATTCAATGACATACATTTTTATAACAGCCGCTTGTGGCCACCTACTGGTGTAACGATGTATAATCGTTATGTAAAGCGTCACGTTAGTAATTTCCTTTTTTTATGTATTTTTATAGCCGAACTATAAACTTTTATCCCAGTACTTCTGTGATCATTTAAATTATTGTTTCATACTGTATGTATACATGAAAACATCTTTCTCTGGCTCAGAACGCAGATTGTCAAAGGTTTAATAGACATAGAGCCGAATCGCTGTCATTTAGTTACGAGAAGACGATCTTTTAACAATTAATCGTGCAACTCTAACTCACATAAAGCAATTTATACTTTATAGCGCATTGATTGTTTATATTGCTGCAAAATGTGAATTATATGTATAAAGTTGGATATTCAGTACATCCAGGTGTGTCCGCATACATACAGTATGCTCACATAAAGCGATGTACACTCACCTAAAGGATTATTAGGAACACCTGTTCAATTTCTCATTAATGCAATTATCTAATAAACCAATCACATGGCAGTTGCTTCAATGCATTTAGGGGTGTGGTCCTGGTCAAGACAATCTCCTGAACTCCAAACTGAATGTCAGAATGGGAAAGAAAGGTGATTTATGCAATTTTGAGCGTGGCATGGTTGTTGGTGCCAGACGGGCTGGTCTGAGTATTTCACAATCTGCTCAGTTACTGGGATTTTCACGCACAACCATTTCTAGGGTTTACAAAGAATGGTGTGAAAAGGGAAAAACATCCAGTATGCGGCAGTCCTGTGGGCGAAAATGCCTTGTTGATGCTAGAGGTCAGAGGAGAATGGGCCGACTGATTCAAGCTGATAGAAGAGCAACTTTGACTGAAATAACCACTCGTTACAACCGAGGTATGCAGCAAAGCATTTGTGAAGCCACAACACGCACAACCTTGAGGCGGATGGGCTACAACAGCAGAAGACTCCACCGGGTACCACTCATCTCCACTACAAATAGGAAAAAGAGGCTACAATTTGCAAGAGCTCACCAAAATTGGACAGTTGAAGACTGGAGAAATGTTGACTGGTCTGATGAGTCTCGATTTCTGTTGAGACATTCAGATGTTAGAGTCAGAATTTGGCGTAAACAGAATGAGAACATGGAACCATCATGCCTTGTTACCACTGTGCAGGCTGGTGGTGGTGGTGTAATGGTGTGGGGGATGTTTTCCTGGCACACTTTAGGCCCCTTAGTGCCAATTGGGCATCGTTTAAATGCCACGGCCTACCTGAGCATTGTTTCTGACCATGTCCATCCCTTTATGGCCACCATGTACCCATCCTCTGATGGCTACTTCCACCATGTCACAAAGCTCAAATCATTTCAAATTGGTTTCTTGAACATGACAATGAGTTCACTGTACTAAAATGGCCTCCACAGTCACCAGATCTCAACCCAATAGAGCATCTTTGAGATGTGGTGGAACGGGAGCTTCGTGCCCTGGATGTGCATCCCACAAATCTCCATCAACTGCAAGATGCTATCCTATCAATATGGGCCAACATTTCTAAAGAATGCTTTCAGCACCTTGTTGAATCAATGCCACGTAGAATTAAGGCAGTTCTGAAGGCGAAAGGGGGTCAAACACAGTATTAGTATGGTGTTCCTAATAATCCTTTAGGTGAGTGTATATTGTATAGCAAATATGATTGTTTATTAAAACAAGGAGTGCAAAAATGCGTTGCGCGGGGTTAAATCCATATCCCGGTGCTCTGGATGGAGGAATAATTCGACTCATAAAAACGTATCAAGCCAAGGCACTCGAATGTACATAAAAAGCATTTATTTCATCATGAATTAAATAACTAGTTTGTTTATTTATTTGTCATATATACAAACGTCAAAGACAATTTGTACATTGAAATGCATTTGGTTGAGGCTCAGGCATTCAACAGTAGTGCAATAGACCTTATTCGCAAACACCGGAAGTAGCTAACCGCGGCCATATTGTTGACATGACATCTGTCCTGCTGCCCCTAACCGCGCGCAGATTTGAGTTGAGGGGAGCAGTAGCCTGGCTTCATCTCGTCGGTATCAAGAGAAGATAATGCTATTATTTGATGTGGGTCCACACCAATCAAGCTTAAGTAAAGATCCGTCCTTATTGCCACCTTTGCCAGCCGTAACTTATCCGGATATTTATAACGATCTCGTTCATACAGTAGGCTATCCGTACAAACTACAATGCACCTCAACAAGGCAACATAATGAACGACACTCGTCTCATTCGTGGAGGTGGAAAAACAAATTCTTTGTGATATGCAAGATTTGTTGTATTAAAATGTAAATGCAAAAGAAAAGGCATGAGAGTCGGTTGTTTTTGTCAATTTTAAGTTTTCATTTAAAAAGTTTGCGATTTTAATATAAGTACATGGTTACATATTTGACCACTTGCTTGAGCAACTTATATAGAAGTAATGCATGCAATAATTGGCTTACGTTGTTGAAATAGTGAGTATGTGTTTAAATAAAAATAGTGAGTACCGGGGTGTTTGTGGTACAGCCGCGGATCAGTTACGCACTGCAAACGCAGCATATAAAGCACTATAGCGCATCTTGCTTGTGTACCGTATACACACCGCACACGCATTGCACACGGATTATGTGTGAAACCTGTGGTAAAGTGATGGGAACAGACTTTTCTATGGGGAGTTGGCTGAAAGTTTAGCCTATTTATCCTAGCTAGCCTCCTGCGCTGGCTCAACTCTGTCTCCTTCCCTTCACGCTTTCTGACAGTCGGTAACTTATCGCAATCATAAAAACTAACTCCGGGGTTCTTGCTGTTGTTAGAACAGCCGTGTATTACACAACACACCATCACGCTGTTTAAAAAAAATAAAATACAGTGATAATACCATGGATAATACCGACGCTGCCTCGCTTGTCAATTGACAGACTGACAGTTGCCGTGGTTTCTATGTCAACAATATGGCCGCCGCAAACATTGACGACGCAGATTGAATAACATCTATACAATAGATATTTATAGTAAAGTATATAAACAAATATATGTTTGTATGTAATAATGATGAAATAAACTCGTTGAGTGCCTTGGCCTGATACATTTTCATGTTGTTTTATTTGTTGGTTTATAGTCAAGCAAATTAGCAGCAATTAGACGATAACACAGACACTAGCTGACACAATTTTTCTCAAATGTAACGATTCAGTCAGACAGGTTTGAAACGACGAAACTTTTCTTTAAATATTTATAAAACACTAGCAAAAAAAGTGATTATAATTGAATTGAGTTTTTAGCCATTAGCCGTTTGAGTTTGGGAAAGCGGAGCTGTTTTTCATAAAGCGGACTGACGTCTGTGTCACTGAAACACTTTCACACAGTGACCTGAAGGAAAGCGCAGTCCTGTTTCCCAAACGACCTCGATCGTCACCTGCTGAATATTCATGAGCTCGCTCTGATGCCGTTCCTGGAGACGCTGCTGAATATTCATGAGCTCGCTCTGATGCCGTTCCTGGAGACGCTGCTGAATATTCATGCCATATTCAAAACATACAGGAAGAGGAAGCATTTGGATTCTGAAACCCGTTGAAGGGTGAGCGAAGTTTACGGGACGGTCAAGCGTGAACGCTGGGATATTTAGGCTGCTTGAGAGATCGGAGATAATGATGATGTTTCAGGTAGCAGAGAAGGTCACTATTTAATTAGCACACTCGCTGATCACCTCGTAAGACGGCTTTAGCTGAGCGACACATTCGTGGAAACGTAACGCGCCACAGGGGAAAATGAAAGGTCAACGCATCCATAAATGGAAATGGAGATATTTTATTCACCGTCAGACAAGAACAAGCCATATAATAATTTAAAATCTAGACAGAAAACAGACACAGAAAGCTAATCGAAAAAGAAACACAAAATAGCGTCGAACTTCCATATCCAGGCAAAAGAGAAATACGCTAAGATTTACTTGCTAGCTAAAGTTTCTACAATCCTGTGATCATCAGAGATAAAAATGAAAGAATGTTTTATTCTTTAAACATCCAGTGTGGTCATGCCGGTGCTCGTGTTTGGTTTCTCGTCGTGGGTTTATAGTCCTTGATTGTGCAGAAATGGCCTCCTCCGGTCTGATATTATACACCTTTCATATTTGGCATAAATTCGGGGAGGGTCGTGTGAGACTGTACAGGTGCTGTGAGCGTCGAGCCACTAAAGACACATGGGATCCACTGAGCAACAGATGTGTCCGTTCTGGAGGAGACACGAGGAAAAATACAAAAATAAATCCGACTGTTTGTGCATTTGAGTGTTGTTGCCTTTTAAATAATAATAGAAAATTATAAGATAAAAGTATATGGGTAACACTTTACAATAAGGTTCATTAGTTAACATTAGTTAACCATCTCTTTGTTTGTTTGCATGTCATGTTTGTATATTTGATCATGTCTCTCTGCACAGGTGTGTGTGTGTGTGTGTGTTTGTTACCTTGCACTGGCACAGTGTGCACTCCGTGCCGTGTTTGACCCAGGACGAGCCGCTGAGGCGGGTGATCCCGTGTTCGTCCTCACAGGTCTTGGTGATGTCGTTGCGGACGGCGTGAGCCTGGCACGGGTCCGAGATGCAGCGCGGGCAACACTCGCCCTCGGGAACCAGCGTGAACTCGCAGTCCGCCGGCGGGCAGGACAGAGGCCAGCAGTCCACTTCACCCTGCTGAAAACACCAACCGCAACCTTTACCTAATATACAGTATATTATCTCTATAATGAAATCTAGAAACGTTCAATCAGTATTTTGGGTTTGTTTTTCCTGATGAGAAAGACTGTAAATTATATAAATGCGTATATGTGCTGAAAGTGAATTTTCAACAAAAAAAATGTATGAGCGAAAAAAAACAATACTTACAATACTGATGTCATGCATCTTTAATAAATGGTCCAAAATGGTAACTTCACATTGAGATGCATGCACGATAAAAAAGCAGGCATATGCATTGCAATATCGTGCATAAGTAAGAATAATGTCAGATAGTGAGATGTAATCGAGTTGACATTTAAAGCGTTCCTCACGCCGAAGCGCCACAATAATAACAGTCAAACACTCATCCGGCGGATGGAAACAATATCATTTCTGCTATATTGCATGGATTTCTGAGCGCGGGTCTCTGTTGGTTCACCAGCTATCAATAACAGCAAAGCACTGACTCCCCAATACATCCTCAAATACAGGTCATATATTTCAGGTCTGGCTGAGCAGAGATTTGGCCGAGCGTTTTCATTTCAGCCACGCTAACACACAGGAGGTGCTCTGACAGCCGTGTGAGATGCATGAGTCTTTTTGAAGTCTTTCCCTCGAATTCTGATTGTGTTTTGATCTCATGCGGTCCGGTAGCTTATCACCGCTGGAAGGGTAAAACCTGTTTACCCGAGCTATTGACCAGAGCTCTGGGTTTATTGCAGCATCTGCATTTTTCTTGCATGGAATGTAATATATTTTCCAGGATGCATATTTATCAGCCTGTAGTTGTGTTGGCAGAGCGTTGCTGCTCTATATACTGCTTACTATACAGTGATGAACATTTCAAACTATAGTATGCTATACTGTTGTCACATGACCTCATTATTACATCAACATTGTCCAGGAAATACCACTTGTTTATATGGTTTTGTTTAAAAATTATTTTATTTAAAAAAAAAAAATAGGATTAAACATGCAAAATTGCTATTTAATTTATATTGATTTATACAATTTGTACACAAATAGGATAATAATAATAACAACAATAATAAGTATTATTATTATTATTATAAACTGAATTAAGCATTGGCATTTCTATTTTAATAGAATTTTTTGATTTTTTTTTTCAGGCCCGGAAATCCAAATTGTAACTAATTGTGTACAAATAATTTTATAAATCCATGAAAATGTTTAATCCTATTTTGTGTAAAAAAAAAATTTATATATATATATATATACACGTGTATATAATTTTTTTTTTTTACATCTTATATTATAGCAACTAAATCAACCAATTTAATAATTATTTTAAGGTCATATTTTCAATAATATAAGTTAATGATGTATTTATTATTATTATTAATAATTTTATAATTATTGCTGGTGTTATAAGCATCAGCATTTCAAAGAATTTAAAAGAATGTAAAAACAAATTGTAATATAATTTTCCATGCCTACTGTAAATGTCCCTGATGTTTCTCTCTGTATTGTCCTCTGCTTCTTCTTCATGTGTGTGTGTGTGTGTCTGGGAGAATGTAGCGCTGTGATGCTACGGTCGCTGTAACGGCCCCTCTGAGCGCCAGTGTTAATGAGAGCCAGTGTTAATGAGCGCACGCTTGATCAACGAGTCTCGTCTCCGCCCACCGCACGGATGATTTGTGGTAAAAGAGTCGGGCAGGAGGGGGTCACAACAAGCTGCTTTCTTCCACAAAACCCCCTCATGAATGCAAATATGACATTAGCATTTGACGAGCATATGGCTGGAGGAGGAGAGGTGTTTCGAACACTCGGTAGGGAGCATCGAGATTCATACCACATACGAGCAGCTCAGAATCCATCAAGCTGCGTTTATTTGTGTTTCTTTGATTATCATTGAGTTTGTGATGTTTGGAAAGATACCAGGGGTCTCAAACTCGAATTACCTGGGAGCCGCTAACTCATGTTCTCCATCGGGGGCCAAAAATAGGTGTTTTTACAACCACAAATTTGATCTATATACAGTTATTATTGCATTTAGTGCTTTAAAGTCAACATGAGCTGTTTCCATCCACTTCACATTTTGATTTATCGCATAAAACACTGGATGGAAACACTCAATTGAGGCGGATGATTTCATAATCCGATAAGAAGACATAACTACGCATAAACTACTATGGAAATGCATTTACCGAAAAAAATCCCTCAAAACCTCATGTGACTTTGCCTCAGCAGAGGCTGTGATTGGATAACTGGAGTAAACAGCGGACCAATGGCGTCGCAGCGTCTCAAATGTTGGTTTGGTGGTTCTGAAACGCCGGAATCAAAGTCTGATCAGAATGATTTGGTTTAATTCCCTCCAGAAGCGTCTCACACAATTGTGTTCACAAACACCAGCATCCGAATGCAAGAGAACATGACTAATTTATGATGGAGGGAAATAGGGAAGAGCCCGATTGCAGAAACTTAAAATTTTTTATAACTGATATTTTGTGCTAGTTTCCCAGGAAGTGACGATTTGTTCTCTTGGACACATGGGATGGAAACGTTGCTTTATTCCCAAATTTTTTATGCGGTATTACAGTGTTAAGTTCGCAACTTTGGATAAAAACACAACTAATGACTATTTCAGGGTTAATAAAGTTAATGAGAAAGCCCCTCCCACTCCCTTATAAGGAAAAGCAACAGAGTCTGAAAGCCCCTCCCACTCCCTTATAAGGAAATCACCAGAGTCTGAAAGCCACTCCCACTCCCTTATAAGGAAATCACCAGAGTCTGAAAGCCCCTCCCACTCCCTTATAAGGAAATCACCAGAGTCTGAAACCCCCTCCCACTCCCTTATAAGGAAATCGCCAGAGTCTGAAAGCCCCTCCCACTCCCTTATAAGGAAATCGCCAGAGTCTGAAAGCCCCTCCCACTCCCTTATAAGGAAATCGCCAGAGTCTGAAAGCCACTCCCACTCCCTTATAAGGAAATCACCAGAGTCTGAAACCCCCTCCCACTCCCTTAAAAGGAAATCGCCAGAGTCTGAAACCCCCTCCCACTCCCTTATAAGGAAATCGCCAGAGTCTGAAAGCCCCTCCCACTCCCTTATAAGGAAATCGCCAGAGTCTGAAAGCCACTCCCACTCCCTTTTAAGTAAAATCACCAGAGCCTAAAACCCCCTCCCACTCCCTTATAAGGAAATCACCAGAGTCTGAAACCCACTCCCTTATAAGGCAATCACCAGAGTCTGAAACCCCCTCCCACTCCCTTATAAGGAAATCGCCAGAGTCTGAAAGCCCCTCCCACTCCCTTATAAGGAAAATCATCAGAGCCTGAAAGCCCCTCCCACTCCCTTATAAGGAAATCTGTGTCAGTCAAGTGCACGAAGTGTCCAACATTCCACACTTTGTTTTTTCGGGTTAATTAAGTGCATCATCCAAGTATTTTAAGTGCCCTTCTTCTATTTGTAATTTTCAGTGAACACTATTCTTTTTCTAATTTTCACTACCCACAACCCCCTGGGGGGGCCAGTGCCACCTGTGTGTCACGAGTGTGACAGTGATAGTCACTCATTTCGGTCTTTTGTCACGCACTCCCGCCACACATTGTATTTCTCACGCGGAAAAACTATTTATAATATATTTAATATGCCGCAGCGCCCAAAATGTCTCTGGCCGCGCCGCTCTCACTGGAACCGGCAGGAATCAAGCGCGTCTCCCTGGAGTTCAGTCGAGCCTGCCACTTATCAGCCAATCAAAAAAAAAGAAAGGGGCTACACAATAGCCAATCAGAAAATAGCACTATTGTTTCTGGATAAGATTTAACGCAACAACCAATGAAAAAAAAGCATATCCTGGAATTGTTCACGTGATTCTGCTACAACATCTTCCGAAAGTTTTGTTTACCCGCAGAGGAAACCACTGGAGCTCCGAGCATCACTTTGAGCACCGAGTAAGTCATGGTCTCCTGTTTTAATGTTACAACAACAAATTCAAAACTTGTTGGACACAAACAATGACAACTTGACTGCTGTTAGGAGAATATTTCCCAGATAATTAGCATTAGTTTTTCATGAGTGTCTGTAACTTAGCCAACAGTTTTACAGCCTGTTCACTGACAACACCTGCTCAGAACAAGTAGTCTAGGCCTAGTCATATTTTCCTTATCACACGATGACTGACATATTGTCACATTATAAACATCTCTCTCTCCAAATAGGCTTAATAATTTTATTAGCACTAAATTAAAGTGTATTGCACAGTCGATGTTATAGGTCACTTTTAAAATCATGTCATATTTTATAATTATATCCTGGCCATGGATGCATTAATCATTGCATCTGTCTTTCAAAGATGTCAGGTAAAAAGCAATTATGCATCCTCTCATTCACCCCGAGTGGAAAGCCCCCTAAAAAGGCCAGGTTAGAGGATAATATGCTGATCTTTTTGCACAAAAAATATACTGAATATGTAATGCAAATGTAAAAATATAATGGAAATGCAAATAAATTGTTGAATGATAATAAACCTGGTATTTCGCCTGTTAATGCCTGCAGTGCAGAAAATGATATAACAACAATAAGGTCTAAATGTAACTGGCCCCTCTAACAGTACAACTGGCCCCAGCTTGGCCCCCCCAGTTGAAATGGTCTAGAACCGCCTAGGCCGCACTGTTTTACTTGTCTCCATCACGTAAGTGTGAGCTGTGTTTCTGAGCTGTTTGTCTCACCAGACACTGGCAGCGCTGGCAGCTCTCGATCCAGGTGTCTCCACTGGAGTACGTCAGCAGTCCGTTCTGATGGAGGCACTGGGACGTCAGACGCGGGTCGCACTCCGGACAGCAGAACAGATCCAGCGTGGGATTGTCACAATCACACACCATCCGTCTGCACATGACCCGACCTGACTGCAGGACACACAGGTGACACACACACGCGTCAGGAAAACCACAGCGATTCCAACAAAAAGAGCTTCTGAAAGCAGATCAACTGTAAAAAAAATTTTTCATTTAGTTTTGTGTACTAAAATAACTAACATTGAAATTGAAATGATACCATATTTAAAAAACAACAACACAAAATTACTCAAATATTAAAATGAAAATTTTAGATGCTAAAATAACATTGCTTTGTCTTACTGTAACTACACTTTTTTCCTTTTTTAAATAAATTAATGGTTAACCAAATATGTTCGACATAGATTTGCAAATACATTCAATAAATGAGACACTAGGCTGTGTGATATAGTGATTTTACTACAGCTGATTGGAAATACTTTTCTAGGCGATTTTATTTAATGTAAAGTTATTTTCTTGTATCCTTGCATATTGAGTAAGTACATTTAGAAAGATGTTTTTAAAAAATATTTATAAAAATATATATATATATGATCACACATATATATATATTTTTACAACATGTAAAAATTTTACAATTATTTTTATAAAAAAAATTTGGCAACACTTCACTTGAAGGGGTGTGCATAAGACTGACATGACACATGTCATGAATATGAAGTAGGGTTTTATGCATGTTTATGACAACTGTCATTAAGTGTCATTCGCTCAATTATGACATTTTTAATGCAAATATGACATTGTTTGAGATGTCTTTATGACAACTTGACATAAACCAATACATCATAACCTGTCAGTGTCTTTGTTATGACAACTTTACTAAGACAACACAACCTGTCATAAACATGACATAGCTGATTCATTATCAAACTTAAGAAAGCACTTAGCTTTATGGGTTAACATTACATTAAACTGTCAGGTGTTGGTTTTGACATTGGCTGTCATGAGGCCATTATAACATTTTAATGACAAATTCAATGTGTACCACTGTAGTCAAGGTCACGAAAAATATTCACGACACAGTTATAATGGCCTTATGACAGCCAATGTCAAAACCAACCACATGACAGTTTAATGTATATATATATAGTTTTTATTAAATGTATATATTTATTTGAATGTTTTTCCTTATATTTACACATCATTGTAATATTTGTTGTACTGCCTTTTAATTAATCTTACTGCAGCTGCACTTTTTACAACGTGTTTTTTAATAGACATTATGCCACAAATGCTGTTGATAAACTTTTCAAAGCCTGTTCTTGTGACCTTATGTTAATATCAAAATGTGATATTAAATCTAGAGTGTTTTGTAACAATAAGAGCTTGTTATGCAAGCATAGAACAGTAAACAAAGAGTTTAAATTTCAGCATCAGAAGACTTTTTCCAGAAGCCGAAGCGAGTAAAGCGAATACCCTTGATAACTCTGTGACACGGAGCAGAGAAAGTCTCATGTTCAGTCGAGCGGCCAGAATCTAATTTTGAATGACAGCTCTCCCTCTTCCACGTCAATTAAACGCTTTCGGCTGATTAAGACTGATTCGCTCACTCTGTCCTTCACCATGAGCGTGATAATTGGGAGATTGATTATTTAATATCTGAAAAGCCATCGTGCTCGTCGCCTCCTCCAGATGCAAGAAAACATTTCAATTAAATACTTAATTACCGACTGTGACCAGCCAAATTGATGGAGGTCAATCGCTTAAATGAAAATGTGACTCCTCGAGCGCTTCCGATCAAAACAGCAGCACAAAACTGAGGAGCAGTTTGTGCTAAACTCATTATTTATTATGGATAAAAAAAGAAAAAATCTAACGTAACTAAGTATGTTGCTATTTATTTGAGTATATATTCAAGAAAAAAGATTTCACCATAGTGGAGTCTAGGTGAATTAAACTAGTATTTTGTTTAGTTCTTTTCTGGTATCATTACTTGTATCGTGAAAATTACCACAGAATTTAAAAGAAGTATTTTGTTTTTTAATATTGATAAAATACTTCATAAATAACGTTATGATAATACTAAATTATTTTATAAAGAATTACAATTAAATCTTTGCAGATTGTGGTAATATTTGTTGTACTGTCTTATTATAAAGCCAAAACCATATAAAACATTTTTGTTACATGAAATAAAATATACATTAACTGAAATAAAATAAAATATATTTCATAATATTCTTTTATGATTTTCAATCAGTTTAACTTGATGTGCTAGAACACCTCAAATAAAACTGAAATACAAATGAATAAAACTAGTCTTTTATAAAAACGAATAAAAATTACACAAAAACAACACAATTACAAAAAGCGTTAAAATGAAAATGAAAACAGGAAATATTAAAAAAAAAAAAAATTATAAATATTTATTAAAACTATAATATATTTGACTATGGTTGACTGGAAATAATTTTCTTCATTTTTCACAGACCACTGAATATTTAATTTTATGTAAAAAGTTATTTTCTGGTGTCGTCGCATGTATCAAGTGAAAATTAAAAGGAACTTTAACAAAGTTTTTTTATGATTTATCTATTTTTATGATTATATATATATTAAGTGGCTTTAAGTACTGTGTACTTGCATCGAAAAATAAGTACATTGTAATTGTGTTCATGTTGTACTGTAAAACACTTTTGCTGCTCTTGAGGTGTGACACAGGTAAGGTTAGGGACAGGTGTAATTACATAAATTAATTACGGCTGTAATAACATGCAGGTTTTTTTTCTAAATATAAGTATAAAAATGTATGTACACAATTAGCCCATTGTATCAAATTATTAATTTCAATGTTAGTACATAGTAGTTAGTCACTTAATATAAAGTGGGGCCCATTAGGTAATATATATATATATTTAATTTTAAAACCTGTTCTTTTGATCATGTGACCGTATGCATCTGCCCTTCACATCTCAGGATAACACAGTGAAGCCCTAGTGATTTATCGTGACGCTCTGTCCAGGTAAACCTAATGGCTTTCACAGGACCTTCACCCTGACCTCAAAGATGACAGCTTACCCATAATGCATCACTCTCACTGACCTGACACGAGCACACGGAGCATCTGTCATTGTCCAGGACCCAGATCTGGCCGTTGTGCTTGACCTTGGTGTCGTGGATGCAGTCGCCGGTGCAGTTGTGGCCGTGTGGACAGCGGCAGTCGTATCCGCCGTCCAGGTTGAAACACACGGTGTCGTTGGCGCAGGTGCTGCGACCTGTCCGACACTCGTTGATGTCTGTCGGAGGAGGTGAGACTGTGTTTAAACATACACAGTGTTTGAGAACTGGGTGTATGTGTGTTTGTGTTTGGACTGTACCTTTACAGGACTCTCCATTTGCAGTGAAAACCTCGTTATCATGGTAACCCTCGCGACACTCGCAGTGATACCAACCAGGTAAATTCACACAGGTGGCGTGTGTGTCACACTGCACCAAACCCTCCAGGCACTCATCGATATCTGAACACACACACACACACACACACGGGTCATTATCTCATGCACTGCCTACATGGACAGCATTTTAATGCAAGTTTCTGCAACATTCTGCCAAATTCAGCATGCATTCCTTCACAGAGTGCAATTCAATTGACACGGGCACATTTAAAAGGCATGCATATTAACACTAACTTTATGCAGTGGAAGTCACTTAGGCCTCGTTTACACTGCAGGTCTTGATGCCCAATTCTGATTGTTGCCTATATCCGATTTTTTTTACCGTCCGTTTACACGTTCTTTAACTTGTGACCCATATCCGAGTCATGTGTTTACACTTGACTGAAACATCGCGCATGTTTAAAGGGGTCTTGCTCAGATGGACGAACGCGCAGCGAGATCTCAGGACTGGTGGGAACATACAACACGATCTCATAAAAGTGAGTATCTATAGCACAAATTTTATTTCTCATGCCATTTATACGCCAAAAAGTTTTTGCTTGCATATGATACGCACTGTAAACGTGCGTATTGAACGCCATAAAGTGCGTATCATGCACGCAAAAACTATTTTGGGCGTAAATGCCACGTGAAATAAATCGTGCAATAAACGCACTTTCATGAGATCGTCGTGGGCTTTAACGAGGCGCAGTGGGTCCGAAATTTTAGGATGAGCAAGCCAACCTTTGATATGTTGCGTCAACGTGTGTCCACATTCCTCTCCTACGACGACACAATGTTTCGTCGGGCCATCCGTCCATCCGCAGATGCGCGGTGGGGTTTCTCTCGTCATTAAACCGCGGAGACGCAGCCTAATGCCTCGGAAAATCCGATGATCTGCCTGTTTACATGACAGTCGCATTGGCACATATCCGATTTACATCTGATTTATTTCCACATATGAACGAGGCCTGAAACCGATCTCGAAATATCCGAATGCATGCGTTTTTTTCCTGTTTACACGGTCATAGAACACATCCGATCTGTGTCGCATACGAGTAAAACATCGGAATTGGGTCACATTTCACTGACAGTGTAAAGGCCCGTTCACACCAAGCACGATAACTATAAAGATAACGATAAAGATAACTATATATGCGTCCACACCAACGACTGATAACGGTCTTTTTCTTCTAAGCACGCGCGCGCCCACGCTGCGGTTTCAAAGTAGACCTTTAAATTAGAATGGATTCTGATTGGCTGTCAGTGTTTTATCGTTCGACAGCTGGAAAAAAATCGTTCTGAAAGTGATCCCAACGATATCGTTCCTCATATCTTTATCGTTATAGTTGTGGTGTGAACTCTGTTATTCTTTAATATGGAGAACGATTTTTAGAATTATATCTTTATCGTTATCTTTATAGTTATCGTGCTTGGTGTGAACGGGCCTTTAACGAGGCCTTAATAAGCGTCTGGCAAATGTGTAAATGTTGATGTAACATTAAACTCTATTGGAATCAGTTGTAAGTCACAACAAAGAGTTAGACATTAGATATTAGACATTTAAATAGTTAATTACCTGTATATAATATAAATGTATGAATGAATATAAATGTTAATGTAACATCAAACTATGTTGCAATCAGTTGTACGACAGAGTTGTCTATGTAAAATGCACCAAATTAGTCATTTAAATGGTTTATTCGATTATATTAATTACATTAAATTCTAATTTTATATATATGAATCATATATTTTTTCAAAACTGTTTACCAATTTAGAAAAATACCAATTATTTTAATAAAACATTAAGTAATTATATTTATATAACTTCTAATTGTGTATAATATATAAAAAACAATTATATATATTTTTTTTTTTTAAACTAATGTATTTACACATCATGGCAACATCTGTTTTACTGCTTTTATGCTATTTTAAAGCTACACTGTGTGATTTTTACCCCAATCTAGCGGTGAAAAGGTATATGACCATACAGTGAATATTAGTTTCTGTTCCTCTCAATTCCGATTTCGTTTTAACTCCTACGGTGGCCAATGTAGTCCAAGATTAACATGGCTTCCAGTTCGACCTCGTCCATGAGTGTTCCTTCAAGTGATGAGGTTATTTTAGAAAACTATTATAATTTGCAGTAATTTAATTTGTCAGGTAACATATAGGTTATGACATCTATGTAAAATGAATAATAGTTTTATGTTTTCGTTATTTTTTTACCATTTCATTGCTAACATCAGTTATCAGGTTCCCAGACGAATGCAAGCTAATCTTAGTAAAGTAACTTTTCTCAGTGCTATCGTTATTCTGTATGTTGTACGACATCACTAGCGTAAGGCAAAGTTTATATTGTAGGCTATATTATACTTTCAAAAAGGCTTTCAGGTTTTTATATATCAGTCTCAAGCAATCCCCCTCTTGACATTCGACACGGTGCCATCGAGGGTTAAAACGCGAAAGGCAAAGCTTGAATTAACGGGTATGTCCCTCTTTGGCTAATGTACTTTCAAGATGGAGGGGCAACATGGCGACCGACATTAGAACCCCTTACCCGTATGTATTTTCTATGGCATATTATACACTCACGAGAATACTTTATTACTTGGACGAAGTAAATATACATTAATGAGCACATATATTTTTGAAAGAACTAAGTGTTTTTAGCTAAGAATAAACTAAAAAAGTTACACAGTGTAGCTTTAAATGTAAGAAAATTACAGTAGTTTTAACTTTAATATATTTAAAAAATGACTATTATAGTAATGAGGATCATCAGTGAGAGACATGAGTAAGTAGATGGGAAAAGTGGTGGAGAATGCGGGCACAAATCACAATGGTCCTAAAAATAGGCTTTATTTTCTTTTATCCAAAATCATTCTTGTTTTGTTTTCTTATGATTCTGGGGTGAAATATGACCTGGACATGTTTTCATTCACCCACAGACACCAGCATCTGAATCCAATCCCATCTTCAGACAAATGGCTTTCGCAATTCAGACATAATGAGTCAAATAATATTAAATTAGACGGCAGTGGGCGACATTAAAGCGATTATTACTCAGACGGTCACGGAGAAAGAGACGCGGGGAAGATTTTCTCAATGATTAAACACTCACAGAAGAGATGAGACTCTGTTCTGATTAAAGCTGATCATTATGAAAATGATTCTTTACACATGGAGTCATCAGCGGCCAATCACAGAGCGACCTCACTGCAGTCAGGTGATCACTGGGAGGTTAACGGGGTTTCTGGGAGTTTTCAGAGACCAGATTGAAGGATAATTATATGAAACTGATATTGCTTAAACGTGACCCATCCTCTGATTATATTTGTGTTGGCAGCGAAGTTGATTAATATCAGAGGTGGATAAAGGGAAACTCGTTGAACAATGAAATTCTGGCTGTTTTGTCATTGAGTCTTGAGAATAGTCTTTATGCTTTAAACACACGTCAATCACTAATCTTTATTAGTGATTATTAGCAGTATTTAATTGAGTTAGAACAATGACAGTGAAGGGCGAATGGCATTGTTTGGTTTTTCTATTGTAGGTGATGAAAGATTTATAAATACATGTGTAAATGTCCTTTGTTGTGAGTTTATATGTTTAGGGATTAAGATATTGTTGTTGCTTTTATAATATTATTATATGAATATAATATAATGTAATTTAATATTATATAATTATAAATTTGCACATTAAGTTTCTTATTTGTTTTTTCTTTTATACATTTTAGATTTGTTATTTTTTCTTAATTTTGTTATTAGTATTATTATATATTGTATTTGAATTTATATGTGCTTTTATACTGTAATATTTTAACAATATCTGTATTTATAATATTGTTTAATAGATTAGATTTTATTTTAAAAAATGATATATTATTTATTTAATATGTATAATATTACATATTAATATATTATTTGTAATACATTATTATTATATATTAATTTACATGTGCTTTTATATTGTAATATTTTAACAATATCTGTATTTATAATATTGTTAAATAGATTAGATTTTATTAAAAAAATAAATATATTATTTATGTAATATGTATAATATTACATATTAATATATTATTTGTAATACATTATTATTATATATTAATTTATATGTGCTTTTATATTGTAATATTTTAACAATTGTCTCATGAATAATATTTAACATTATATAGATTAGATTTCAATAAAAAAATTAAATATATTATTTAATTATTATATTATGTATAATTGTATATATTCATATATTAGTATTTCTAATACATTAATATTATTATTATTTATTTTTATACTTTTTATTATGAATTTTATTTTGTATCATATTAATAATTACCAATTGTATAGTATTATATTATAAATATTTTAAAAATTGTTTTAAAAAGTTTTATCAAGTATAATGTTTTATAAATGATATTTTAATAAACAATTGTTGTAAACGGTTCGGGAAGATTATTTATTATTTTGAAGATTTGACATTTGGTTGCATCCTGAACTTTCAGGAACATTAATGTGAATCTGACTATAAATGGAAAGTTTTGTCCATCAACCCAAAACTCTGTCTGCAGTTTTTCCCCTGAAAAGCCGTGTCACACACACACACACACACACCGGCAGAGACGAGCAGAGAATAGATGAGTGAATCTCTTTCACAGACGCGTGTGTGTTCTCCAGAATGCTGCAATCGCTCTCGTTCTCTGTAGCAGAAGCGTTTGCAGTTAGCAGAACACACTGCCTTTGAAATTGAAAAGCCGTCTGGCCGTTCGGTGAAGAAAAGAAAGGAAGAAAGACCTGGAGTGGGGAATCAGTGTGGGATGCTTGTGTTTTTTAGTGTGCTATTTATATCTGAATAGATGTCAGGTTTCTAAATATATATACGCAATATAACAGGCAATTTATTCCGTGAAAGAAAAACATTATGTTCTCTGATTGATTCTTTTATAGTTTTAAATATAATTTCTGAAGCATTCGTACGTCTGATTCAGTTCATTTGGACAGATTTTAAAAACATATTCATCGATTCATTTGAGTCTCATCTGAGACTTTTTGGTTTTTGATGTACAAAATAATATT